CCGAGAACCTTTTTTCGGGAAGGTGGTTGGGAGGTTCTTTGGGGGATTATACGGGATTATGCCAGGAACATTCCAAAAACCTGCCCCAGGAAAGCTTCAGGAAGGCCCCTTCCTATACCGATTCTGAACCCTCATCGGGAAAGATATCAGGGTTTTTTTGGAAGGCCCCTTTTACAGAACTTCCCAAACGCCGCCCTCAGGAAGGTTCCAGAAGGGCCCACCCATACAACCCTGCAAAACCTTCCAGGGATGGTGTTTGACACGTTTTGGGCGGGGTTACTTTTCAAAGACCTACCAACAACCTTCCGCGGGAAAGCGTCTGGGCGGCTTCTCCGTAAGAGCCCGACAAACACAGCCCCGTTGGAGGATTCTTTCAGAAAAGCTCCACCGACCTTCTCCTGGGAAAAGTCAGGAGGATTTTTTCCCGCGGACCTTTCAACATCTATCCAGGGGGAAGGTTGCTGGGTTTTCAGAGGGAGCAACAGCCTTCCAACAACCTTCCTCCGCGAGGTTCCAGGAGAGCTTCCACCAGCAAACTCCCCAAACGCCTTCCGCGGGAGGTCAGCGGAAGGGCATCCTCAAACAAACCTCCAAAACATCTTCTTCAGAAAGGCGTTCGAAAGGTCGCCCGGAGGCTCTCGCGGAGAAACTTTCCAACGACAATTTCCACATGGAGGTTGCGGGGGAAGGTCCTCAAGAAACCATTCAACGACCTCCCCCTGGAAGGTTTCAGGGCGGCGCTTGGAAGGTTCCCCGAACAAGAAGCAAGCAAAACAGCTTTCTCGGGCAGATCTCTGGCGGGCGTCCCCGCAACGGCCGTTCAAAAACCTTATTCGGGAAGATTTCAGGAGGGCTTCCCCTCGCGAGCCGCCCAAATTCTTTCCTCGGGGAGGTGGCTGGGTTTCTTGTGGTCCCGAGGATCCCGTTTAAAGAGCCGCTTAGAAAGAAGAAGAAGAAGAAGAAAGAGAAGAAGAGAGAAAAATAACATAATAACCAACACATCAATGCAGGGAAATTACCAACACATCAATGCAGGGAAATTCCACAAAAGGGATTCTCCTTAGAAACGAGCCAAAAACATCCGCGAAGGCTCGTGGAAGGTACTCGGGGCTTCGCTCCGAAAAACCGCCCGCGGACAGTCCTCGGGGAGGTTTCTCCCTTCCAAATGCCCCCCCCCGCAGGTTTCGGGCGGGATTTCTGGGGGCTCCTCCATCAGATGTCGGGCGATCTTCCCCGCGCGCGTTCTCCAGCGATGCTCCCAGGGGAAATGCTGTATGTTGTTGGGGGTGTTCTCTAGAAGGACGCTCAAACACAAGCCTCGGGAAGGTTCTACGACCGCGTCCTCCTAAACAACCTCCGTCAATAATATAGTTTGGCGAGAATTCTGGAAGGTCTTCTGTTTTGGGCGACCGTCCAACAACTTCACCGAAGGGGGGGGGTCGGGAGGGCTTCCTGCTACAACGTATGCAAAGAACACCTTCCCCAAGAAACTTCCCTTCGAAAAGCTACAACGAAGCCTTCCTCGGGATAATCTTAAAACGGCCCCGAAGACGGCTTGCAAGTTTTGGGACATCGCAGAAGTTTGAGGTATCATCGGAAGTCACGTAAACATAGGTGTGCCTGCCGCGTGCCCCCGATGGCGCTGACTCATTGAATGAAAGTCCCCGACCACAAGTGACTGAAGGCTGCAGGCAGCAGAAGTAGAGGGCGCCAGAGCGAGAAGCGACGATGGGCGTTGACGGGAGGACAGTCAAATGACATTGAACCTTGGCAGACCTACATCGCACCAGGGTCACCGCAGAAAAAAGACAGCGCAATGGAGGAGGTACGCTATGCGAAGGCAGGCTTGCACATTGCATCAGGGAAGTCCGTGTTTTTTTTTCTGTCAGGCACTGGGAAGAGGTCGGCGAACTCCTGCGCTTCGCGAACAAGCCGAAAAAAAACAAGCATTCTTCTTCTGGAGGGGCCGGGTCGATACAACAAGCACGGCGCCTGAGGCTTCTACGTGCCTTGCACATCTCAGCGCTGCGCTATCGTCCATTATGTGTGACATGTCTGCAACAAGTGGCGCGCTGGTGGCCTCGTGGGAACGCATCTGCAACAATGGCACGATTTGCAAGTGGGAGGCTGCAGAACGCCTACACTCTCACCTTCGTTCCACTGTGGCTGCAGAGCAGGGGCCTGGGAGTCATCGCGCATGGGCAATGGAGGTCTCTCATGCTCTGGCAACGCGTCTGGTTGCGCAACGCTGTCGTAGGAAAGTCCAGCCCGTCTGGCTTGGAGGCATGTATTGGCGTCTCCGTCGCGCAGCTCCTGGCGAGCCTTCGCGTTGGCAACGTGGTCCTCTGAGATCAAACGCTCCAACGAAGATAACGGTTTTCTTTACAGAGCGCTTCGGCTATGCGTCGGCCTAGCTGCTAGACAGCGCGGCGTGCATGTGTAGCTGCTCTTGCTCGCACCCAACTGCGCCAACCTCGAGGGCGCGAGTATCGGCCCCATGCAGACCAACGGGGTCTGAGGCGTGACCGGGGGCGGTACCTTGGAACCAGAACAGATAGAGGCTGAAAACGAAGGCGCTGGCGAAGCTTATCGTCAGCTTGCCTGCTGTCTGTATTACCAGCAGAAAGAGTGCTTAGAGCGCGGCGCCCCGCAACTAAGTCTCTAGGAAAGCAGGCGTTGGCCAGCGGAGTCGAGAGGGGGCGCCCCATTGAAGAAGGGGCTCTTCAATGTGGCGTCCTCTATCGATTCCCTAATGCGTCTTGAATCTTGAACATGTTGAATCGCGCCAGAACGCCAGTCATGGGACGTCAATACTGCGAAAATCAACGTACGTGTTGCGCCTTAACAACCCTGAATCGTTCCAGAACGCCGTTGCTGGTGCGCTACGAATGCGAATCCGTGGAACGATTGAACTTTTAAACGAGTATGAGCGCGGCGCTATCGCGAGAGCCACACCATGTAAACACATTGCAATCCGTGAAGTCCTCGCAGCTGTCTGATACGAATGTGTACGGCGATCGGGCGAGAACCACAATTTGAAAACCGTCCGGCGCCAATCCGCGAAACTCCTCCAAAATTTTAAAACGAGTGCACGCGGCGCTGAAACAAAAACCACATTTTGAAAATCCGTCGATCCGGCGTGTGAGTTTCTGAGAGCGTGCGCTTGAGCTCGCTCAAGCTTCGCTCTGGGGGGAGGGGTCGGGATCCGGCAAATTATCCACGCAATTCGCTGAACGCTCCAGCGCGGGGGGGGGTCCAAGAATCGAGAGGGGGGGGGAGCTCGAGCGAGGACTGGGGGGGGGTCGAGCTCAAGTGGGGGGGGGTCCAAGGAGGAAGCTCGAGCGGGGACGGAGGGGGGGGTCGAGCTCAAGCGGGGGGGGGACCAAGAAACCGGGGAGGGCAGCGGGGGG